TTTTGGTTCAATGCCTGGAAAGGAACATGTTTTTTGTTTATATATATATATGTGTATCACATCTATTTAGTTGTACGTGCTGTATATGACCTCCGTTTGAAAACACTGCCTACAAGCGCCCACAAGCGCCCACAATGCATCTATCCCTGTGGGGGGCCTTCAACGGCCGCAAATCCAACGGCTGCCTTCAACAGCTGCTTTGTTTCCTGCTCTGCTCTTTTGCTTGCCCATGTTTTTTCTTGATGCTTCCTGGTTGTTCCAGCTCCTTTGAAATCTCCGAAAACCACAGACCCCACAAGTTGTTGGTTTTTGTGTTTATCGAGTTTTGTATATTCTAGATGTTTGTTTGTATTGTTTGATATTGTTGTGTTTGTGCTTGATTTTTTTTGTATATGTTAGATATCTGTTTGCATTTTTTGTTCCAGGGTGCAAACCAATCCTTGAGAACACGCCAAAACTGGCAAGGTGAGCGCTGCTCAGACAGGCCCACGGGGCCGGGGCGCCGCCATTGTTCTGCCCACGGCAGAAGTACCAGCAGCTTGATCCAGAATCCCAATAGCTTGACTATGTCTGAGTATGAGTTACTCCCTGTAGTTCCAAAAAGAGGGGGGTACTTGAAAAGGATATGTCATTTCTCTGCAAACGACTTGACTGCTATTGTGTTGAATCTTTCGACTTTAAACTTTTTGGGAAGTCAAGTTGGGTTTTCCACTAAACCCCAAAAAAGTTAAGCTCTTTGCAGAGGGGTGAACAGCAACCAAGATTTATTTCTAGGGGTGATTCCTGTTCCATTATTTTCAACCATCGTTCTTTTCTCAAAAACCGGATCCGTTTCTCCTGGGTTTTTGACGATTTCCTGAAAAGAAGGATCCCTGGAAAGAATGGGGAAGGTACCCCTGGAATATTTGATTGCATTGTGTAACAAGCATTGTCAACGTGCAAAATAGTCCCTCCCTGCGAGAGCTATTGTAGTTGTCAACGCAGTAGCGATCTTTGCCTGGTAGTTTGAGGGAGGGCTGCGAAAGTCATGTAGCTCTTCGTTCTTGCCGCCCTTGCCTGCTCATGTACAAGACGGTGTGGCATTTTGCATGGCTACAGCAATCCAGCTTTCAACGGGCCACGTTTGCCATATTGAACGTGTGGTCTTCGGCCAGCGAGTTTCTGAAATGGGCGGTTGTGGTTACTAAGTGAACAAGCCGTAGGCAATCCGAGCATGTAGGTGGAAACTTCGGTGTTTAGGATTCTCATGGCAACTCCGTGTTTATCGGATTGTACATGACTTGGTCGGATGGGACGGGTCAGCAAGACTGGGTGTGCTTTGGCATGGCGTGAATGTTGGGTGTGCAAATTGTGACATACATTGGGACCGAATGTATGCAGTCTTTGGGGCCCTACTCATTTATGACCTTGGTATGGTGCGATGTGCTTCCCCGCAGGATGTCGGACGTTAAGCTGTCCAATTTGCCAAACATGCCAATCCACGCAATTATGAATACATGTCCCCGAGCGCGAACAACAGACTCATAGCCGCGGTTGTTCTCAGGTCAATGTCACGGTTGGGCAAATTGCAAAAATCGGCCTATTCAATTGGAGCTGTTTCCATGGTCAATCTGCCATGTGTAAACAGCGCCCATATCCCCGCTATTTCAATTGCATAGGAATCACTCGCAGGCTCGCGTTCCAAGCGCCTATGAAAAAGTGTCAGTGTGGGGGGGCCCTCTTTCCGATCGGTTCCCGTGCTTAACGGTGCTCACGCGAAGGTCCATCCGCCGATGCAATCTAAGGGATGGGGGACTTTGAGATCCCCTGGCACTTCCAGGTGTTTGTTCTTAATTAGTCGGGGGCCCTCAAATCCCCAACCCTTTAGATCTCCTTCGTGAGGGACAACCTGACCCGGCTGGATTGCGATACTTGCTCAACCAGCTGTCTAGACTCCATCCAGGGACTCCCTCCAACTAACATGGATTTGCAAAAGGCCCTTTCCAAGAGGAAAGTAGTCTTTCTACAGGGGTCTGTGCACTTCCATGTTAGCTGGTGGGAGGGTACCTGGTGTGCCTTATTCAAATGGGGGAGAATTCGATCCAGCGAATTCTGATTTTGGAGTTTCTTTCCCAGAAAAATCGGGCCAGGCCCCAGCATCCTCGTAGATAGCTTCTGCGGAGCGGGTGGGTCGGGGCCCCGTGGACATTGAGCTTTTTCCGAACGCGACGCGTTGAGGGAACCGCCTCAGTCACTTGCCGAGCTCCGTTTCGGACTTGATTTTTGTTGGGAGTTTCGACCATTTTAGTGGTAAACACTACGTTTGGTGACTGGTTTTGGCCAAGAACCTCGGGAAGTGAGCAAAAGTTGGTGGACAGCATGTGTGTGTGTAGTTTTTTTGAGGGCACTCTTTTTGAATTGCTTTAAAAGGAAGCTACCAGGAAGCCGCTCATTTGGGGGAGTATCCCATTTTGAGACACACCCACATGAATCCCCGAGTAAATGATGTCCACCAAAGGGCCGCCCAGTGAATTCACACCCAACTAGCGCCGCAATTAGAAAGTCGAGGCAGGTGTAAGGACTCTTGTGCCTTCTAGAAAGGTTCTGAATCCTTCCTAGAGGGTATGCCTTTGTCATGGCACCCCCAAAATAGTGGCGTTCCTCTTGGTTGTCCTCTAAAACTATCACAAAGAGACTATCACAAAAAGGGCCCCCCTGAAAACAGGCACACCCAAGAGCCCCTTCTGACAATATTCTAAGGATCCTGGAGGGGGCCTAAATGTCCAGAATGGGTTGTCGGAACAACATCGATGGGGACATCATGCAATTCTTTGGCCCCCTAATTGACCTGTGCCAAGGGCCCCTCCTCTCCCTTCACTGTTCTTGGCATTTGGGCGTGTCCTTTGTTGAGCTTACATTTTTGGTGGTTTGTTTAAAGGGAATCCAAAAGGAAACCACTGTTTTGAGCGGTCCCCTAAAAAGAGACACCCATGTCGCTTAGGCGTTTGCCTTCATGTTCTAGTCACTTTCACTGCGTGTGCGGAAAGCAGAGTGGTTGTGTTGCTAATACACTTGGTTTCGCTTTGGTTTCCTTAAAGCCAGGTGCATTTGCAGTTGGAACGGGCTCCTTAAATTCCCTCAGCGGGCCAGGAGCGACCTTTTTTTCTGCGCGGATGTTTGGGGCTATGTTTGAATCCTATATAGGGCATTCCTAAATGGCGGGTTTTTTTTCTGTGGAATCCTTGAAAACAACTCTTCAAGGGTACCCTCAAGAGACATGCCCTTTTTTGAGCGGCCAGGTCTAGTCAGAAGCACTTGTTGACCCCGGATTCATCCAGCTCCTGGAAGAAATGCACCAAATAGTAGGAAAATCCTAGAGGGTTGAGCATCTCTATGACATGTTTGTTTTGCCAGTGTTTTTGTTTTCCCGCGTGTCCCGGACACCTTCCAACAGACAAGACCAATGCGCTTCTTTCTGACTGAGAGGACACGGCATTGAAATGACGAGGATTCCGTTAGAAGTGCTTTAGAAAGCTAAACGACCGTGAGGGACATGCACGATTTCAGAGTTGAAGTGCGGAAACTCTAGAGGTTTGAGCAGTGCGACATAACTCATTGATACAGTTCATGTTACCCCCCTACAAATCAAAATGGAACCCAAAACGAGGGGTCCCCCCTCTACACATGTTTTTGTTGGTTCCATGTTGATCTGTGGAGTAGCGCCAGTTGCAAGATGCAAGGTGCGGACTGAGATCAAGTTCTTTTCTTGGCGCGTTTTTCTTCTTCTTTTTTCGGCGGGATGGGCCAAACATAGGTACCCAAAATGGCTTGCCCTGGTAAATGGAAACGAAGACCAAGACCAGCGGTCCTTTGGTTTCGTTTTGACCCATGGCCATCTCAGCTCCCCAGGTAGAAGCAACATGCTTGTGTTCCCGTGTTTGCTTTTGTCTTTTTCACGAGTGGGCCAAAAACGAAAAACACTTGCTTGTTTGATTTTTACCACAAGAGAACCGGATGTACGGGAAGTTGTCCGTTCAGAGGGATTCCAAAAGGTATCCTCTTTGCTTAAAGCGGGTCCAATTTCTGAAAGGGGCTAAAACTTGCACATCTTTCTGATTTTTTTCCATGGGTGTGGCTGAGAATTCAAGGGCTAGGCTTCAGGTTTTAGCCTCTGGTTCCCTGTGCCAAGGTGCCACCGTGCGTTTTCGGAGCCACAGGCCCATGCTTAAATGAACCCCCAAGTAGGCCAAAGCGTATGGGCTTGGACCTGATGGGAACCGGCTCAGCGTGTTTGCTGCTTGGAATCCTCCAAGGGGAGCCTAGTGTTCGACCCTCGCAAGAAACGCAGGATGCTTGTTGTATGCTGTTATATGCATGCATGTATTCGATTGCATACTTTTACATCTATGTACATTGATAAGTATTCCTGTACATAATGACGTTGCTTTCTGATTTACGAGGAGTATTCAGTTGCATGCCCCTGGTTTCTCAAACCCGTCGCCTTTTGGCATAATGGATTCTAGGGTTTTTGCCTTCAAAGGGTGTCCAAAAACACACCCCTTTTTACTCGCCAAGCGTATGCCTCGTACACGAAAGCATGGGTAAGACAGAGCAGAGCTGGGTTTGTGCCTTTTTCTGAGAGCACCCCCTTTCAGCTTGGCAAGAAGGGAAGCCAAGAGGAAAACCACCATTTGAGGGGTCCCCTATTTTGCCACATACCCAGATTCGATGCTGACCAGGATTCTCACACTGAGCCTTGAGGCGCTTGCTTGAATTTTTCTGTGCCTGCAGCCTTGCAGCTCGGACTTCAGCACTTCCAAAGCGGCCTTGGCAAATCCGGACCAAGGAACTCCACATGTGAAAAAAGAGACAGAGCCAGTGAACAAGGCGCCCCTTTGGTGATGCATTCAAATCTACATTCACTACATGAGGCGCATGTGCTACATCCACCCAACAAATCCGGAAACAGCACTCTGATTCAGGCCATGGTCTGGCAGCACATGGTTTCGACTTCCCGTTTTTGTTTTTTGTTGGTTGGATCTTTCTTGCCGCGGTCCGCCGCCCGGGAGCTGACGCATTGGATCCTCCTTGAAAGTTTGGGCCATGGAGGCAGTGCTGCTTGAGGCGCTGAGGGAAGAGCTGAAGACCTTTGCCCCTCGGAAGGGCTGGCTTCAGAGCCAATCCCGGGCGAATTCGACCCGGGACTGTTGTTGGCATTTTTCCAGGGTTGGAAAGGACCAGAACTTTAAGTTCCTAAAGGGCAGCCCAAGGGGAGGATTTGTTTTGTTAGATGCCCTGTTCAGCATGCAGCCTTGCGCTGATGCCTGGTGGTGTCGGGCTATGGATGAGGAGGGACGGATCTTCCCATTGTGAACAACTCAGACAAAAGTGACCGACTCGGAGCCAAGGGTCAGTGATTCGTAGAGATCCACTGGCAGGGTTCCAACTTGGAACCTGTTCACTACCTGGCCAATTCATATGAAATCCTCAAATCTGGGTGAATTACAACGACCTCACAGAACCTCACCCCAAATGGTGGTTTATGTGGGGAGGCTTGTGAAGTACTATAGTTCACACTTTTTGGCATCTATGTTATTCGAGCAGTGTCTCAGTTCCCTGCTGGGGCTTCCTTTGCCTCTGGGGTTCTCAGAATGGGTTCCTTCCCATTCAAGTTGTCTGCCTTTTGATACCCCTGGACTTCCATTTGCTGAAATGAATATGTTTTTTTTGCCCTGTTGGTTTTAAAGGGAATCTATCACTATTGGCCATATTTGTATTTTTCCCCGGGGGCTTCAGAAAATGGAAGTTGACATGAATGTGGCCTCTATTAGCTTTTTGAAGGGTATTGATACGGACCTTTTGTTTTCCAAGTGTAGTGTAATGGTCATGATTTGCTGGATGTTGTTTTTAGTGGTGCCGTAGGAACAGGGCCGAAAGGGTTTGCTGCTTACGTCTAACCTCAATCTAATTCTTGCATGACATGGCACATGTGGCGCACCTTCCAACTCTATGACAAGTGTGAGGTAATGTTGACCCCGGATCAAACAACCTGTCATCTCAAGGGGGGGTTGTCACCTATAAAAGTGAGGGGTCCCCATTAAACCAGGGTCCTGAACTAATCCGGGTTCCCATTACCCTTAGTAGCCTTAGTTCTATTGGTTGACTCCTCTTCCATTCTTTTAAACCATCGTTCTTTTCAAAAACCAGATCCGTTTCCCTGGGTTTCAAAGGAGGTTTTCTAGAAAGATTCGGATCCCTGGGTTCAGAATGGAACTGGAAGGTGGCACGCTAGGTTAGTATCGAGGTCTCCCTCCACTCGCGAGTGTTTGTGCGGTTCATGCTGCTCTTTGAGGCAGCTCTAAGGGGCTTAGGGCTTCTTTGTGGGCCGCGGGATATGGTGGACGAAATCCATTTCGCGCCACTTTGAAACCATAGCGAACCATTGCTTGGTGGTTCCCAGCCATCCGGCTCCTTAGCTTGTTAGCCTTTTAGTGTTTAGAGGAGTTTTCCATTTAGCCCACTTTAGCAGGGGATCTGAGGGCAGCCCAGATTGTTCGTTGGTATTTACTTTTATTTATCTTCTCGGGTGAGTTAAACATCACCTGTGGGACAAGTCGCCGAACATCCCCTAACCTTGCGAAAATTCTCAAGCGAGCATGAGTTGGAACGACCCCGGCCCCACCCCTGGATGGTTAAGAAGGGTGCATTTCAAATTCCCTGAGCACCAGCAACCGAAACGCTCGGTTCTTGGGGCTTAAGTTCCATCCATTTCTCAGTTCCTGCCTATTGCGCCAGGAAGTTCTTCAAGTCACTTCCCGAGTTCCGCTTCGGACTTTCTACTTTTTTGGGTTTTTTTTAACCATCTTAGCGGTAAACTAAAGAAGTTTGGGTTTGGGCCATTTTAGCGGCAAATTAAGAAGTTTGGTGACTTGTTTTGGGCCGTCCACTCGGGAAGTGGGATCCGGTTTGGGGATCAGGCCTCGGATGTTTCGCTGAGGCTGCAACCTCGGTGCGTGCGGAGCTCTTGGCGCTGAAGGACAGGTCCACCCAAAATGTTTCAATGTTGGACACCTCCAAGTGTGTGTGTTTTTTCTTTTTGCTTCCAATGTTGTTGTTTTTGCTTATTTTGTTGGGTGTGTGTGTGTGTTGTGTGTGTGTGTGTGTGTTTTATTTTCCTGTTTTTTGCTTCTTCTTTTTTGAGGGGGGACGGGGTGTGGGGCGTTTGACACCTCCAAGTCTTTTGGGGGCCAGTTTTTAGTTTTCACCCAAGTGTGTGTGTGTGTGTGTTTTTTGGGTGGGTGGGTGGGTGGCGTGTGTTCTTCCTTGGTTGTTGTTTTTTCGGGCTTGCGGGGGTGGCGTGTTGTTTGTTTTGTTTCGGCTTCTGTTCCGTCGCGCGGCGCCGGGTATGTCTCCTTTCTCGCTTCATTGGGACATGGATTAGCATAGGCCTTAACCTAATTTGATAGGCACGAGTTTGCCGACCCCTGATTAACAAGGCTTAAGCCAAGTTACGAAACCTGGTTCCCCTGGAACAATCGAGTCCCCACTAAAAAGGGACCCCTTTGATTTATAACGGGGGGAGTTTATTCCAAGGGGGCAATACCTGGCTTTATGGGGATGGCAATGATATGTGTTTGTCCGATTAGCAACGGGAACCCAAGATATCCCAAGAAAAAATCAACCCGGGGTGGGCGTCCCATTTCGGAGGACGATTCGCACCTTCGGGCAGAACACCCAAATCTATCTGCAAGGCTTTTTTTTCTTCTCCGGGGGCCGGCTTTAGATTTCACTTGGGGATGTGTTTCTATTCGGGTAATGTTGACCCAGGATTGATCAACCCATCCAATTATTAGGGGGGTGTTCCCTCCAAAAGTGGTCTGAATCCAATCACTAAAAGGGGACACCCCCCTATGAAAATCAACCAGGGGTTTTATCCTCTTTGGTGATGTGTGCCATCGGGAAACCTCGCCACATTGGGCGTCCAGATCTGCTTTTTGGGCCCCGACAGAAGTTTGTCGCGAGGGATCGATCCCTGGCATGCCGGTTCTCGAGGTGTTGTGCATTCGCCCCAGTTCACCACTAGACCTCCAGGAAGCTTCCCCACAATTAGCTTCTTTTTTTTTTGTTGCTTTTTTGGGGTCCCTTTGTTTTCCACTGACCAGGCAAAAAAGATATATACTTTTTTGCAGGGGTCCTAATTCCAGGAAAAATGGCCGAGAGCTTGCCGCAGACAGTTCCTTTCTTGGGAGGCCTTATTTCAGGTGAGCTGCTTTTCGTTATCGTCAAGCCAGCTCTTGTGTTTGGCGACCCTCCAAAGGCCCATAGGTGTCCTTTTTGGTTGTTTTGGTAGAAACACAGATGGGTTCCCTGGTTTACCTGGTGGTTTAATCATCTTCCAGGGCCATTTATTTGCCCTAAAAGGACACCTAGGCAAAGGCCCAGCTTAGGATCGAATTTTCGCTGGCCTTCATTCAACTTTGAATAAGATGCTGGAAGATCTGGAAGGCTCAGTGGTGAACACCAGCCTGGCACGGTTTTGGGATCAACATCCGTCCCCCAGGCAAGCCATGAGTATTTGCCCGGCATAGCTGGACTAGACTGGTACCAGTACAGTCCCGGCAGAACCGGGCTATCGGAGGTCGGTACCGATGGCAAAGCAGCTGACCCGCTTGGCGCCTTCGTCCTGGTTGCCGGGCTCCCACAGCACCTCCAAGGTGCACGTGCCGCCGAGATGGGAATCCTCATGGGCATGAAGCGCCCTCCCTTGGCATTCGTTTGGACGTCCGGCGCCAATGCAAGCTTCATGTTCGAAGCAAAGCCTGTGTCTTCGCAAGCTTCGTTGCGGCAATGTGGCTTCTTACTCCCTCCTCTGTGAACAGCGATGCCAAGACTGCTGGATGTCCTGCGGCACAAAGGTGATTGGCCGAGCCTGTAAGGCGGCAAACTGGAAAGTAATATTGCTGGACATCGCGTCGAAATTGAAGCCCCAATCCTTGCAGCATCCGAACGTGGGATTACACAGTGTTTCCGCAAGGGGCGGAAGTGATTAAAAGAATGTGGACTACACTTTGGAGCGTGTTTATTTTCTCCTTTTCTAGCTCCTCTCATTCTCTCTCTCTCTCTCTCTCTCTCTCTCTCCCTCTTTAGATGAATATATATGTACATGTATTCATCATTTTATTTATATTCATACATGTGTCTTCATTATTTTCTTTATGTTCATATTCCTTTTTCTCTATATATGTATCTTGAATGTTTCTCCGCCTGTATGTACCTTTCTTTTATCGTTATCTTTAGAATTCGATCTCTGTTTCTCTTTATCTTTGCATGTATAGGTCTTTCGATACCCCCTTTCTTTGCTTAATGATATTGATCTTTCCCTTCCTTTTTTGTTACCTCTTTATCTGTCTGCCCCTCTTGCTCTCTTTCTCTTGCTCTGCTTCTTTATCTTCATCTTTCTCTCTTTCTCTTTGCCTTCTTCATTCTCTTTGACTTCTTCTTTCTGTGTCTGTCTTTTTCTCTGCCTGTTTTGCATTCCCTTTCTCTTTCTCTCCCTGTCTCTCGCCAGCTGACGAAAGTGACCACATGAAAAGCGCCGATCTGTTCGTGAAAGTCCACAGCAGCTCCGTGAAGAACCGCAAACACACACGAGTTGTTTAAGGTTGGCCTACTGAAAGTCCGCAGAGGATTCACGCGTTCATAGTTGCGCAAGCTAAGCCTTCAAACCAAAAAACAAGTTGCTGGAGGTCGACCCATCCAAAGTGCGCAGAGGGCTCGGCGATTGAGGGCTGCAGAACCATGCGCGCTCCGTCCCCGCACTCCGCACCCACCTCCCTCAGGTGTCGTGAGATGGTTTGCGCGCATCCGGAAGATCCTGATTACAGGGTCAACGTTTCCTGCCTCTTCACCTTAGCATTGTTACGCGTAATGCGTGCAGACACCTCATTAGCAGTTCAGGTACCACGGAAGTTCTTGTTCAACTTCCTTTGAGAATAAGGATAAGGGTGCTTTAAGATAGATCTGCGGATCCAGAAGTTCTTCATCTTGAAATACTCAAACCATGCTGACGCCGATAGTAATCATCACGCACCGTGGTGCAAAGCGGTGTGAGATGGCGTGAGCAGGTTTAATGAAGGTGCTGGGCCTTCAAAAAGCCAGTCGTCGAAAGCCAACCGGACTTTCAACTGTTTGTTATGTTTGGTTCTGGCTCCAAACTAGGCCCTGACAGGGGGTCCCTTTGAGAGATACTTGGGCTTTTAGATGCCTTTTCACAAGTGCTAGGATAATTATTGGGAAGCAGGGCAACCTTTGGTGTAATTACAGGCCTTTTGGCGCAAGTGAGACTTTGCTCAGTCATCTCGTGGCTTAAACTGGTTGGATCCCAAACAGCTGTTCGGCTTCCTTCGGTGCCCTGACTACTGTTTGCCGTGTGAGCTGCCTGTTCTCCTAGGCAACTGATCACTCATGCTGGACTTGTTCCATACACAATTCTCTGAGTTCCTGGACTTTGAGTGCTTTTTGGGAACTGTAACATCCGCTGAAGAAGTGAACTACCAAACTTTCAAACTTCTACAGCATCACTTTGATTTAGCGACTGGAAGCCAGGCCTTCCAAGAGTAGCCCAAGACTTGTCACATCTTGCGGAATCATGATCACTCTGAGCGGATAAGGTGTCACTGCTTACGGAAATGAAAATGTCACTACTTACGGAAATGAAGCCACTACACGCGGAAAAGTATAGGGGTAGAAAAGTATAGGGGTAGGAAGCTCCTTTCTAAGGCTCCTTTCTAAGGCTCCTTTCTAAGGCTCCTTTCTAAGGCTCCTTTCTAAGGCTCCTTTCTAAGGCTCCTTTCTAAGGCTCCTTTCTAAGGCTCCTTTCTAAGGCTCCTTTCAAAGGCTCCTTTCTAAGGCTCCTTTCTAAAAGCTCCTTT